ATTGATGCTTCTTTACCTTTGACTAAACAAATATATCAAATAGTTAACTTAGGAGAAAGGCATAATAAACCTTTAATCATTATTATTAATAAATGTGATTTAATAAATGAAAAAGAAGTGGTAGTAGAAGAACTGAGGAACAGACTAAAATCTTTAAACTATTGTCCAATAATTTGTCTTTCTGCCTTGCAAGGAAAAGGAATTAGTTTGCTAGTAAAAGTTTTGGGAGAAATGATAAAGCAATCCCAAAAGACTTTGACAAAAAAAGAAATTGGAGTAATAACGGAAAAAATGATGGTTAATAATCCGCCGAAATTTTATCAAGGAGGAAAGTTAAAAATCTATTTTGCTAAACATGAACCAGGATTAGTTCACTTTTTTATTTTTTTTGTTAATAATCCGCGACGGGCTCATTTTTCTTACCAGCGTTATATGGTTAACTATTTGCGGAAGTGTCTAAAATTAGACTATTTACCAGTAAAAGTTGTTTTTAAAAAAAGTGTTTAGTAGTCGCGGTGGCGTGGTCTTCTAACTAGTATCACCACAAGGCTAATAAAAGCGACTACGGCGGCAAATATTGCGAAGCCAACGGCTAAGTTCATTTTTTTACCGTCCTCGGTAGTTTTAAGTTCGTTTTGTAAATCATCTAACCTTCTTTGAGTTTTGTTAATTCGTTCATTATTACCGGTTAGACGTGAATTCAATATTTCTCTTTGGAGGTCGGTAAGTTGGGTATTGTTAGCAAGTCTTTCTCTTAAAGTTTTATTTTCCTTTTTAAGTTGCTCCATTTGTGCTTTGAGAAGATCTATTTGGTGGTTTTTTTCTTTATTTATTATTGGTAGATTTTTCTTATCATCTTTTTTAACTGCTTCATAGGCTTTAAAAATAGTTCCTGAAAAGTCCTCAAAAAAATAACGAAATTGGCTAATTTCTTTTTCCGTTGGCATTCCATTGTCATGTTCTTGCTTAGTAATCTCAGAAATTTCTTTGAGAAAGTCATTACTTTCTAAAATTAAGTCATGGCCTTCGGGGTCATCCTGATAAATTTTTGCTAATATTTTATCCCTTAATTCTTTATCTCTTGCTCACTTGCCAATTTTGGTAAGTCTTTGGATTATAAGCGTTAAGTCTTGATCCGAAACTTTTTTTCCTATCCTCGCCTCATGATGTTCTTCTACTCTTTGGAAAAGATATTCTAATCACTCTTTAAGGGTTTTTTGCTCTTTCACACCATTTTCGCACGGAAAAGGGGCTTTTTCATTTTGGAGTTCTTCGGAGAGATTTTTGTTGAAAATTTCTAATTGTTCGATAGTGTGTAGAAGTGCGAAAGTGTTTCTTGCTTGAAGGCTATTGGAAACCAAATTAGCAATTTTTTTTGCTTGTTCGCGTTTTTCTCCGCTAGATATTTTAATAACCTCTTTCGCTGCTTCTTGAATCGTTTCGTTTCATTTATTAAATTCAGTTTGGGTAATTTTTCGTGCTGTCATAATTATAATATATATATATATATATATATATATACAGAAGTTTTCTTTATCTCTCCTTGCTAGACAAGGGTTTAGAGACCTTGTCAAAACCTCATTTTTATCTATATAATATTTTTATTATTTTAATATGTAGATCTACATGTAGATAAAATTAGTATTATAGTATTAAATTAGGAATTGTTATTCTATTGACTAAGAATTATCACTAAATCTTCTTCAAATTCAACCAATAAAATAACAAAAGTAAAGAAAATGCAAAGTATAAAAAACATTTTTAAAAAAGATTGGAAAAATATTCATCCTGATTTTACCAAAGAATTACAAAAAGAATGGGAAAAAAAAGATTTTAGTTATGAAACTTGTAAAGAGTGAATAGACATTGGTTTAAAAGTTGATGATGCTAATTATTGCCAATGATTAAGAGATGTTAAGAAAAAAAATGTCGAGTGGGTATTAAATTGCGGTAATGAACAAGAGTTGAGAAAAGATTTTAGTTCTTACAAAGAGTTTTTAGAAGAAGTAACAATGATTTCCAAAATTAGTAGCAAGGTAATTAAGAAGATAAAACATTTCAATAATTATAAATTGACTCCCAAACAAGAATTATTGGTTGATAAGTTAATACCCGATCGGAAATTGAACTATCAATATAAGAAATTTGGACTATGTGAGGATTGTAATCAACCCAAAACTTTCCATGATTGATGCCAGATTTGTAATTCTAAATTTTTACAACAAGAATTTAAAAACTGAACCAGCGGTAATCAAGAAATTGATAAATTTATTCAAAAACGCCAATTGAAAGCAACTAGTTCAAGTGAATTATTAGAATGAATACCTTATGAACAGTTTACTAATCTAGAATATTTAGCCGAAGGTGGTTTTGGTAAGGTATATAAAGCACATTGAAATGAAGGAACAACTAGAGAATGGAATAATAAAGAACAAATTTATGAAACAGTAGTGAGTGGAAAAGATATTGTTTTAAAAAGTTTACACAATTCCCAAAATATGACTATTGATTTTTTACAAGAGATTGCTAATCATAAGTCAGTTGGCGATATTAATATTGTCCAATGTCATGGTATTTCCCAAGACCCTTCCACTAAGAATTATCTAATAGTCATGGACTACATTGAGGGTGGCGATTTAAGGCAATATTTAAGTAATCTTGTTAGCACAGAATCATTTACACTAAAACTATTAAAATTACGTGATATTATTCGTGGGCTAAGTGAAATTCATAAATGAGGATTAGTGCATCGAGATTTTCATCCAGGTAATATATTATTAGGCAAATATTTTGGTTGCTACATTACTGATTTAGGATTAGCTAAACCAGCCAATGAAACTAATGATAACAAAGTTTATGGAGTTCTTCCTTATATGGCACCAGAAGTTTTGCAAGGAGAACCTTACACGCCAGCTAGTGATGTTTATTCTTTCGGAATGGTAGTTTATGAAGTACTTTTGGGCTTACCTCCTTATTATGACAGAGAGTACGATACTTCCTTAGCGTTAGATATCATCTGTCGAGGACTACGGCCAAAATTTCCTAATAATTTTAAAATGCCAGAATTACTAGAACACATAATCAAGAGATGTTGAGATGCTACTCCCTCACAGCGTCTCCCTTCAAGAGAAATACTATACCTCTTGCATGAATGAGAAAGCGAAGATTGAGTTGAAAATCCAGAAGAATTTGACAATAATATATTTCTTAATCATCAAATTCATCCCCGAGCATTTTATACTAGTAAACCAATAAATACCAAACAAATTAATGAATTACTAAAAAATTCAATAGTTAGAGAAACTTCTGACAATACTGAAGAATCAATAATAGAAATTGAATCTCCTAAACGTAATTCCTTGGAAGATAATTTCAATGACCTTAATTTAGAAGATTATGGAGAAGAATTAATAACTCAAATAGAAATCCCACCTAAATAACCAATATGAACCAAAATAACCATAATTATGTATCCAGCAGAGAGAGAGAGAGAGAGAGAGAGCAGTAAAGTATGATTATGAATAACGTTTTCCATAGTTCTAGTTGCCGGACTAGGAACTGGTATTTATTTCTTTACCAAAAGTTCAGAAAATAAAAATCCTGATAGTCCTAATACTCAATATCTTCCTAATGAAGAAGAATTTCAAGCCAAAGTTGACCAATTAAAAAGTGAAAAAGGAATAGATGATCAACAAGCTCAAATAGAAGTTTTAACTCAATATGTTCCTTACATTAATTGATGAGAAATTAATTCTTTATCAGAATTAGATGAAAAGATAAATTTAGTAAATAGTAAAACTAAGTTCCCGCCCTT